GTGTCCCCTAAAGAGCCCAACACAGTAACCCCAGCAATTACCCATCGCATTGTCAAATAGCTCTTTTAATCAAGCTGCCACGCTAACAATCTCCTAACAGCTGTCTGTGCATCAGTGTTGTTAGCTACATCTCCCAGTACAACTCTTGTCTCAGTCACTTCCTCATCCTGCTTCTTCTTCTTCTTCTTCTCCGGATCATGATGGAGCACAAATGATCAACATCGACACCTACCGGGTCATGTCGGTATCCTACATCTTTGACATTTTTGTTAAGGTCTTAATTCAGTATTTTGGAGGTTATTGCTTCAGGCATTGCTTCGATGGAGAAAATTGTAATCACTTCATGAATATTTTTTTTTTCTGGGATTGCATCTTTAGATTCCATAGACAAGAACATTTCAGTATGCTTGGCTGTATCCGAGAGGAATATGTGGAAGTACACTTCCCCCTTTGAGGAAATTTGTCTTGGACTCCAACTGCTACATACACGTAGGCCTATAGGCTAGTATTGATAAAAATAAATTAAATCAGGATCAGAAATACTTTATCAATCTCAGGGGAAATTGGGTAAAGCAAAAAAAAAAAAAAAGCATGCATAGGCCTTTGTCTTAAAGGTGTTTAAGCGTCAGATGAATAATACTATTGGTGGCATCATCTGTACCCGCCCTCGTCTAGCTCAGAACTTATCTCCGCTTTCAATGCAGACACCATGTATTTTTCAAAGTATTTCTTAACCACAGAAATTAAAGCCACCACTCCATAACTTCGTTTTTTGTTGGACAGAGTTCATTTATAATGGGAATATTTGTAGATTTTTTTTTTTCCTGAGGGCGTTGCCCATGTGTTTATCCACAGACTGTTGGGAAACAGGGCACCAAGCTGTAGTGAGCTCTTGTGCAGAAGACTTTAAGAAAAGAGAGTCCATCTGGGCCTGTGGATTTCCATTTGGAGACATGACTGAAAAGTGACTTTGAACTTTACGAGGGTCAATTACCAACCTGGAGCAGGAACTAGTAGTCGAAATTGTCTGCAGCACAATATTACATTCTAAAAAAGTCCAGTGTAACCTGAGAAAAAAGTCAATTGAGTTGGTGATTTTTTTTTTCCGTTAAGCATTCGTCATATTTGCGGTCATAAGTAACAGCTTTCATAGAGTCCCGTAGCGCTTTAGAGTCCATTGAAATAAAATTATGTTCTATTATAGCCCTGTATTCCAACCTTGCATCACTCAGCATTTTATTGAGTTCCTATTGCACTTAAAACATTATGTCACAATTGCTAAAAGCTGTTTTTTTCCTGGGTGATGCAGTCCTTAATCCCTCTAGTAATACAAGGCTTATTGTTTGGGTGCACTTTAATGTCCTTTTTGGTTACCACACAATCTGTTTTTGAGCAGTTGCCTCCTCAATAAGCAAATCATAAAAAAAAATGTCCCGGTTTGTGCAGAGAAAAGATCCCTTCAGTGTTCCTATCAGACAAGGACCCTCAAATGGATTCAAACGCAAGACTTCCCAGTGCAGAGTTAAACATGGCAGGTTTATTGAATGTGTGGTTTGGTACACAGACAATTCAAAAACACAAACAAACAAGTGCATGCCTTGTGCATGTTATAGCCATGTTGGTACCCTAAGTGAGATAAGGTTTTGGAACCAGAACCAGAACCAGTAACAAGCGGGGGGAGGCAGCTTTGAATTTTTATTCTCTTTAACTGTGGATCATTTAAATATGGTAGGTAATGTTAAAATGAAAATCAAAAAGGTAAAACAATACATACATTTAACCCATCATATACATCCACACATATATCAGGCAATGAGGCACCTGCAAAGGTAAGCTGGTTTTAAGTTGGAAATATGTAGTGGAGAGATAGTCTCGATACGCTAGAGAAAGTAGGTTACAAAGTGTAACCATGGTTCTCTACACTACATGGAGCCGGAGAGATAGTCTCAAACAGCAAACAAGAGGATGGTTTAGAGTTTACACATGGATCTTAAAGAATGCTACATAGAGAAAGAATAAAAAGAGCGGCTGACCACATTATATTACATTTCCAAGAAAGATATTGATATATTAAAAACCAAATATTTAAAAATATTAAAAAGAAATAAACACATTACAAAGTATTAAAAATAAAACACTAAAAGGTCGATCTTGAAAACACTAAAACTCATTCATTGGAAAATCTTCATTCAATCCCCCCTGGAAATAAACTTTTAAAATAACAAACAAAACAATAACAAAATCCAAAATGCTTCTTCCTGATCAAATTGATATGATCACCTCTTAGATTCAGTTTGATGGCTTCTATTCCAAGGAAAAATAAAGATTTTAGTTTGATTAAAATGTTTTGCAACGGGGCTGGTGATGTCATTCCTTTAACTGTGCTCCTGTGTTCAGTGATGGGGATGTTTCTCCCAGCATATTTGATCATGTACACCACATGTTTTGATTTGCATGTGATAAAGTCCCTAATATTCATTGTTTTTCAGTTGATGCAGTGATTAAAAATAATTGAGTATTTTGGTAAATTGGCAGTTAATGCAGGTTGTCATGAATGGCTTGAAGGCCAGGTTTTGCTTGAGGTTTCTGACTGTTTAAACGACGTTTTTTTCTTTCCACTTTTAATTTTCTAAAAGTTGAGAGTTGCTCATAATGGATTAATGTTTGGTCTTTGTAGATAATATAACAGAGAAAGGTTCTTTACTGTAGGCTACCTGCTCTTTTGTCACATCATATATCAATGAGTAAGGTCTTTAAGCTGCATACTGTAAAGTGTCTTGAGATAAAATTAGTTAAGAATTGGCGCTATGAAATTAAAGATTGATTGAGTGATTGAGAATGAGTGGATGATATCGAGAGGAAACTTCTCACTTTAACACTCAATTATGTCTGTGCATTATGCCATGAACTACTTGAGCCCAGTGATGAGGTGAATTCATCATGTCAGTTACTGAGGAGGCTGATAACCTGAGTGAGGAGATAACTGGGTGAGAAGATGAGGGATTGTCACTGTTTTTATCCACCAATGATTTTATTAACAACTAGAGAAAAGAGACTGATGTCACTGGAGCTGATTTACCGACATGTCAGGAGGGGATTAGTGGGCAGCCAGGGACAGTTGTGGAGCGCCCTCTGCTGACACAAGATGTACTGCACCTCTACCTGTTTTATCACCACAGAGACCATGCAGCTTAATGAACTCAGAGAAGAAGTCAGAGCAAGTTAGAAACCTGCTGCATCTAACCGGGCGAGTTGAGTATGTTAATACTCTTACCATCTTGCTTTTGGTTTAAGTTTAATATTGTTTAATATTGTTTTAATAGTATGTAGTGGGAGTGTAGACATAACCTTTTTAGGGCAGTCGAGTTGTTTCTCCTTTGTATAGTGATCATGTGTGCAGTTGCACTGTATTACAACCTGTGTTTTGTCAAAGCATAGTTTGCAGTTCCTCCAGTAGAGGGTGTTAGTTTGCCGTGTTCCATTGGTATGCCTTATGCTAAAAGTCTATCCCTGTTTAACTGTGTGTAGGGGAAATAGGGGAAGCCCTTTAGATGGCCTAGCAGGTAATGGGAAGTTCCCTGCTCTCTCTGCCTCATTTTTATGAATTGTGCCTTTTCTGTGTGTGTCAATAAAGATTGGATACCATGTTTTGTTAAGCTGCATTCTGTGGTCATTTGGTGGCTCTGACTTTGTGGCAGTAATTTCCTGCCACCACCCTTGAAACCTGACATGTATTGCAATAGAAAGAAGTGCCACAGAGCTATATCACTCATTGACCGATACTGTCCAAGAGACAAAACATCATGGACCTTAGACAGAAAGTTTTTTCACATTGAGAGAGCCATGTCAGGGTTGAAGTATAACCCAGAATGCATACAAACGCAATTCTTGCAAACGTTGTTGACATGCCTAAGAGCGACGCCTAAAGTGGAAGTGGAAAGGAGAGGTATACTGTCACCTATAGTATGACCAAACAAAATGGAGTAAAAATGGCTATTATTCAAGAGGGGATCACTAGTGGAGTTGACCAGGTTAGTGGTTTAGAGAAAAACAAAAGTTAAAACCCTATACTTGAGAATCTTGATGCTCTAAACAAGTCATTTGTGAAGCGCTCCAGAACATCACCACACATGTTGCGGTAGGGTAGGGTGGGTTAGGGTTATTTTTAGAATTCTGACATTAATCAGAATTCTCCACACTTATCTATGCGCACACACACACACACACACACGTAGTATGCCATTATTTCCATATTATTTTAATGGACTAGGGAGGCTTAACAAAGTACCGACAGATAAAGACAATACACCTCTGGATATAAATTAATGTTTACGTGACTGTATACTGGGTATATTCATCTAATTGTGTCTAAAGTGTAATCTTGAGGTTTAAAGTATTTTGATGCAGTCTGTATACCTACAGAAAACTGTTAGTCAACATTTTATTGTTTTAGTTGGGGAGAGTGGGATATCAATATGTCAACTAAAATTAATTGGATTTCTACAAGTGTTTAAGCTAATTCATATTTGTAATATAAATAGTTTCAAAAACGCAAGTTAAAACCAGTTGGAAACAGTACTGACCTGAATTCTTATTTACTGACAGTAGTTTTATTTACCTTTTAAGAATAAGGCACTGTCCCTTTCAGACAGGCTCAGTGGTGAGACGCTGTGTGTAAACTTGTGTTCAAATGTGGGCTTTTCTTTAATAAAAGTGGCAAAACGTGAAGATGGACTTGTTCTGACTGGTTCATTTTAAGGGTGCAAACATAAGGTACAGAGGACAAATAGAGATCAGAGGGTGCCTTGAAACAGTTGTGAGATCTGCTCCTGAAAGTACACTGCCTTGGTCCTGGTTTGAAGAGGTGGGCTTTTGCACGGTATGGCTCCTCATCGTCAGCACAAGCACGAGTACCCATCATGGACATGACATAAATCGCCTAATCGATGCGGTACTTAACCGTACTCACTACACACTTTTTTTTCGGTCATTCTTATTGATTCTAGGACATGAATGTGGTTGTACAACAAAATAATCAATTTTAACACATTTCCACTCCTGAGCTGAAACATCATTCTGCTCTGTTATGTAATGACACAATTGAACAGTTCTTCTCTTTATTCTATGTCCTCAGCTTTGAAAAGGAAAACATCGATCTCTTCGTCAGCGGAATTGTTGTCCACATGGATCTCTCTGACCTTCTGGGCGACAGGCATGCATCTGGGCATGAGCCTTCTTGTAGTCTAAAAAACAAATGAGGTAGCTACAAGTTTAAATGCAGGAATAGTGTGTTTTAAGAGTTGATATATAAGCTTCACGTCATTCCATCAGAAGATGTTGTCTTATAATGTGAAAAGTGTCACATTATAACAAAAGAAAAAATATTTTTTTTTATGGCGGAATACTTTTCTTGTTAAAATATAAAACAACATTTCAACATTATCACTTTACATTGATCAGTTTCTTTTGCTGGCATGGTAACAAAAACTTTGGCTGAATCCAGTTTCAGTCTGCCTCTCGAAAGCCTCTCGAAAAATGTAAATTGAGTTTGGTATCAGACCTAACGTCGGCAAATGAATTTGTTACTACTGTAGTAAACCGAGATTTAATTTGATGTAAACTAGAGGTAATACAACATTTAAATTATTTTATAATATACTCTACATGATGCACTTTTTAAGCAAATAACTTACTATTTTCTTGGAGTCAGCCAGGGATTTTTCCAAGTACCTCCTCATCCTTTCCTTCTGTTTCTCTCTCTGCTCCTTCAGCCTTTCCTCACGATGCCTGAACAAGAAGTAGGAAGGGAGGAGATATTTTATTATTACAATCCATTACACAACACAATACTTTATTGTCCCCCCCGGGGGGTAATTGTTCTAACAGCTTTGCACAGTTGGTACACATGAAGAAGTTAGAAACACATAACAAAGAAGGGGCCAGTCAGCGTGCAAGCATGTTTAAAAGGGCTTCAATCACTGAGGAGACAAAGCTCTTTTTAAATATATATAATGTGTATATATATATGTGTGTGTGTGTTTGACTTGCAGTCGACTGAGGCTCTGACGTACAGTACGAATCGTCGAGTACTGGACTTTATAGATTCACCCCTAGAGGGTACACTTTTGCTTTTTGTGCAGAAATACACACTGAGTCCTTTTGGTCGTTTCTGATGTTGTGGGTGCTTCAGTGAAATATAACTCCAATCCGCCATTTACATATTTCACACAGTGTCCTGTGTGTGTCAGGAGCACAATGGAAGGAGAGAAGTGAAAAGAGCCGGCTGGAGTATGGTTTATTTAAGAAAAATAATTAAATACCAACGCGCCAGCCTGCAGTCACACCTGACTCTGACACCCTGATTGGTTTGATTCATGTTACGCCCAAAACACACCTATGTACAATCACGAGACTTAATCCAACCTTATTGTGCTCTGCGCCTCATATTGTGCCCCACATAACTAGCGAAATATAGTTGGACACGCCCCAAGCCCCTAATCACTGACTTTAGCACGCTGAACGACAACAAAAAAAATGTTACTTTACAGTTTATCAGTGAAATTTACAGACTACATTTCCAACTGGATTCTCTTTTGACAGAGAGGGATTAATACTAATTTAATATATAAGTCTAATTTATTATTATTATTGTTTATTCTAATGAACTGAATGAAGGTATTGACTCTGGCTCTAAAGAAGTGAAGCCAAATTACCCCAGGATCATTGGTGACATGTTATACTAGTGTCATCATTTGGACCCAGAGTCTTCTCAGTGTGGATAGGACTTGTAGAGCCATGGTATTTATATCCTGCTACTTTATGTCAGGACTCACTCAGGAACTCTTGAGAGAGATTAAACCACTCCTCCAGCCAGCCATCGCTGCACCAGCCTCCAGTACAACCCAGGAGGATTGTACATGATTCACAATTTGATTAATTTCAGGCAGCTCATGCAGTGCTGAAGTGATCATTTTTGTTATACAGGAATCTTAATTTAGATAAACTGGGGGAGGGGTTAGTGACAGACATACAGCGTCCCTGTAACATAAGCTAAAAGAAGACAAAAATGGAAGAACTACAAAAATGAAGAGGAGAATCTGCAACAGGCTGCATGCAGGGTTGGTGTATGGGCACTTAACACTTAAAAAGAGAAGATCTTTCGATTTTGGCCGATGATAATACCTGCTCCTCCTCTCACTGTCCTTGAACTTCCTCATCATCCCTAAGCTTTCTTCAGGGATGCTCTCAATGCTCTGAAGCAGTTGTGATAGTCGGTTTTCAATATTGGCCAGCCTCTCCAGGGTGCTGAGGTTAGTCATCCTGTCGTCCACACAGCAGTGATGGACGTCAGCTACCTTCTTATCCAGACTGTCCCACATAATGTCCTGTAAGCAGGAAAAGGAAGTGTACCGTACAGCTCAAATCCCACAGTTGTTTTATCAATATTCAGTTTCCTCACCTGATCTTCTGTGTTCAGTGAGATATGGAACTGAACCTTCTGTTTGAGTTTGATGCATTTTGCCTTCTCTTTATCAATTCTCTGGTTCATGTTGTTTATCTGCAGCGTCAGCTGCTCTTCATCCTTTTCACTTAAGAAAAAAAAGGAGACATTTAAGATGGATATGAAAAAAGACATGAGATGGAAGAAAGGTTTAAAAATGAAAAATATCTATGTTCAAACAAATGCAGAAAAATGGTAATTCAGCACAGGAATAAGAGTGTCTAGAAGCTTCATATTTGACTTAACGTTAACTCGTCATTTTACAGTATTTGTATCACATGTATGTGCTTGTATATATTAAATACAAGCACAAGAAAAATAAAGAAAAACAGAAAGGGGACAAATGCATAAAGAAGCAATTCAAATTTGGTAACTAAAGTTATTCTTCACTCACAGAGCCTTTTAACAGGTTTTGCTTACATTTTCTTTCTGATGGTCTCTATTGACTGATGGAACTCCTCCAGGGTCTCAACAACTCTTGAGGAGTTCTGAATAAGGGACAAGTTTTGCTCTTTAAGCTCTGTAACCAGATCCAGTAGCTGCTGAGGATCTGTGAAGTATATCACTGGCTCATTCTGCAGAGGGGACAACAAAGTAGGGAAGGAAGGCAAACTTTAAATTCTGACAAAAAAAAAGCACAAAAAGAAATGCGATGGGTGGTCAGAGGACTAGATTTTCCTTACCTCATATTCTAAGCTGTCACACTCCAGTGTAGAACTGCTGATAATAAAAGGCCAAGGAGAGTTTTAGAGGTCAGGAGAAAATATTTGCATATCATTATCAATGAATGGACTGAAAATGTTTAGTAATTATCAAGCATGCTGCAGGTCAAAAAAGTTCAACAGTATGTTTCAATGACAAGACAACCTTTGTTCTACTAAACTTTTTACAAGGGCATGGGTCCTCTATGGGTGGAAATACTAAAGCCATTGTTATAGCTTGAGGGACTTCATGGATTGTCCCCCTGATGGACCACCACAGCATGTATAGGATACATTTGTTGATTGAGGATGGTGTGTTGTTTCCTTACGGTGTGTTGATGTGGGCTGAGGACAGCTTGGTCTCCCTGATGACGGGGATCTCTCTCCCTGGACTGGAAACACTGCTCTCCAAACCTGAGTCAATTGTATTAATCAAATAATTCTACTATAACTTTTTACAATGATTTTACCTACAGTAACAAAGCACAGATGAGTGAAAGACAACAATATCAGGACAACAAGTGTTTCCTGGTTCTCTGAAAACTGTTTAAGAGGATTTACCATTCCAAAAAGCTGTATCCACAGATTCCCTGTTCTGTTCGTCAAGAGTGTCTTTGTATGACAAAGCCTTAGTCTTCTGGGCCTGCTGCCACTCCGGAGGAGACAACTTGAACAGAAGCTCTTTGTATCTCTTGTAGTCTATCAGGATCTCTTCAAACTTGACGAGTTCACTATGACACATAAATCATAGTTTCAACCCTCATCCTTCAAACATTATAATACATAAATACAATACAAAAAAATAGTCCAATTGTTGGACTAGGGTTCAATGAATATGACATAAAAAACAGTCTCTCAAGGTCTTTGCACACTGAGTTTGTTTTTTTACATCCAAAATTGATGCATGTTCAAAAAGGAACACAAGCTCATGTTGTGTCAATCATGTTTGCACCCTGACTCTGAATCTTTCATCGATTTCTTTTCAGAACAGGTTCCATGTTCTGCGTTTTTTCCGTTTTTGTGTGTGTGTGTGTGTGTGTGTGTGTGTGTGTGTTTGTGTGAGTGGTTGTGTGTAGTGTCCATACCTCAGACATACTAGCCTCGATTAATTACTTTGAGTAAACTGGTGGTTTGTTTTGTATAAAAATAAATGCATCCGACTCAGTGTGCAAGGTTTTCTGCTGGTACATTTTTTTACAGAGCCAAAAATACATAAAATCAAGGACTCAGTGTGCAAAGGCCTTAAGTGCACCTTTTTTGCCACTTTACTGCACCAGAACATGGGAAAAGTTCAAATGGATACATTGAGAAAACTCTACCTTTTCAAGGAACCTAATTCTGCTGTCAGCTTCTTGATTTTTAGGTGCTTCTCCTGTTTGGACTTGGCCTCCAGTTCAAAACTGACAACAGAAACAGGATGACTCATGTCCTCTTGTCAAGGCAACATTTCTATTTTGGCAAATGCAAAGCAAGCAGCACTTACAATGTTCTGGCCGCGACCGACTTCTTCTCATTATCCCTGAGGACCTCTTCAAATTTAAGGTTGTCGTCCCTGACGATTGTTTCAAGCTCTATCAGCCGTTTCTCCTCTTTTGCAATGGCCTTGTCCATCCTCAGAATCAAAGATTTCTTTGTCATCAGAGATAACTGAGGAAGTGAGGGAAAATAAAGCAACAGTGAATTAATTAAAACACTTTACTGAACCTCTGATAAATCACAACCCTCTTTTGATTCCCCTCCTTCAAAATAGTTTTCTTTTCCGATAGTAACATGGTTGACGAACCTCTTGAAGCCTTTAGCTGTGACTGGCTATACATTATGTGTTATTCTGTTTTGGAAGTTTTCCTTTCACGCAGTAAATCAGGTGAAACTTTACAAATACATTGGGACAGCAGAGCTGAGAAATCAGTATGTCAAGAATTTCCTTCTGGTGTAATAATGTTTGATGATATCTAATCTTATCTTATCTTATCATTATGCACAGATTAATTAAAAGGCAGCATCCAGTATAACTGGAGAAAAAAAATCCTCTTTCCTGATCAATCCCCAACATTCCCAATTGAGGCTTTAATTTTTCAACCAATTGTCATCTTCGTAAGACTTTCTACCATTGATCAGCAACACATTAGGCTGTCTTGTGTTTAAAAACGTTACCACAAAATTCGGTATTACACTCTTATCACATTGTTGAATTCATAGTTTGAATATATAGTTCAAAAATAAATCTAATGCAGTGAAACTGTAGCAGAAATGAAGGTTGTTTTTATTGCAGTTTTTTCCCCTTTGCAAAACTTTAGGCCAATTACACTCGTGATACACTTTAACCTCACTCAGTTTGACTGATGATTCAGGAGCGTTTTTACATGTTCTTAATCTGCTACCAGGAAAAGAGATGATTAGCTGGCAACACGTTTGGCAAATTCACTATCTGATTTTTTCATATTCAAACAAGAAGTCCTCAACTGCAGACTAACAATGATATAATGAGGCAATTTGTTAAACTACCAACAATCACTGTTGAGACAAAATGGAATACAGCTCTCAAAACATCAATCCATTTACTAAGAAGTATTTTGAAAAATAAATATAAACATAAAAAGTAAGATTTACCCTTTTATTGACACTAGCAACTCATGAAATCATTTACCTCCAAATCAGCCTTCTGCCGTTGCATGGAGATCAAGTCTTGTTTTCTGTCTTTCATTATGTTTTCTGGGGACAAAGGAAAACAGAAGTTAACTTTAAATAAAAGAAAGTTATAGAGATGACAGGAAACGTGGAAAAGAGAGACTTTAGACTTTATTGTGCCCATGGGGAAATTCTTTTTCACAGCACCTTTACTGTCAACACAGACAATTGACAAAGAGAGGATGACATGCAGAAAAAGCTCCATGGCTGCTGTTGTGATGAGTTATAGCATTAATTCATGAGAACCACAGATGATTATTCAGAGTTCTGAGACAAACATTTGAGGCAAGTTAAAAAAATCTAGCATCTTTGACCTTTTCTCCACTCACCTCGTTTCAGCATTGCTGTCTTCAGCTCACGTCTGGCAGGTGCTTGTTTATGGCAAACTGTTTTCATCAAGGTTGGTTTTGTACTGTTCAACTTTTCTTTTTGTTCCTCTTCCTCCTCCACTTGTCCTACCGGCCCTGTCTTTAGTTTGGGCCTCATTCTTGAAGTGCATGTTGTCTTCTCATCAACTTGCAAAGCCATCAACGTACCTGTGTCCTGTGTGCAGAGGAGAACAGCAACAGACTTGATTTTTCTCACTGTGTCACACAAGTGTCTAAACTACATGTTAAAGCCTGTATTTCTGAAACAATATGGCCTGAATACAAACCCTTACCTCTTTTTGGTTCCCTTTTTTAGATAGAGTCAACTTCAAAATGCTATTACTGTCCGGCACTTTGAAAGGGCTCTGTTGAGTCTCTTGTCTTGTCCTCCTTTGCATGTCTCCTAATGATACAAAAGTGAAAATGTATTTGGACAATGACATCTCTTAATATAGTTATTTTTATCTGGTCTATGTAATAGGCAGCGATATCAAGATCTGAAAAAGGAGGATCACTGCCTAATGAAAACTATTTTATTCTGTGGAGAACATAATTATAAAAAAATAATGGTCCAAATCCTTGTAAATCGACCGGTGTTAGTTGAGAAGCATTGAATCTCTGTACTGTATTTTTTTACTTTGCAGGTTACACAGTCAATAAAATGTAAAGCCTTTTAATTAATGACAAACAGCATGGCATAACACTATGAAGTATAGTAGAAAGAAGTATCCTTCAAGATTTTATACAGACTCTATCCTGTGAAATAAGGTTTAGATTTGAACTCAATTTATTTGTTTTTACTGTGAACATTCAAGCTTATTTAGGAAAAATATGAAAGATATAAACAGAAAAACTGGAGCTAATGTAGGCCTATATATTTGGATTCAAATAGATTGTCTGATAATGTCAATTATAAAACAACTCATTATTCTTGGAAAAGGTAAAAATGGACTATCTCACAAACCCTGCTTTCATCATTTTCTAATTGAACTGAAACAATACAGCACACACCTCAATGTTTACAAAGCAAAACAAGCTGCAAAGACGTTTTGTATTTTAAAATAAATGAATTTTGCTTGAGCAAAAATAACTCGTGAATTATAAGCATCCGACTCCCTGGCTTGTTTAAAGCTTATGCTATATTTGTAGACATGTTATATGTTACTGTTTGTCATATTCTATGATGTAAATCAAGCAGAACTGATGCCATATGTTCGGTAGGTATATGCAAGCCAAAGTCGCTTTGCAAACTGAGCCTGATAACACTCATATTGACATATAGCCTACATTATAATATTGGGTACAGAAAAACAAATAGACCCTGACAGTAGTCCTGGTTTGCGCCCCATGTGTTTCTCTCATGCTAAACAAAGTGGTTCAATCTTCCTTTTAGCGTTCATGTTAGCGTTAAGAACAGTTTAATACACTTCTTATATTTGATGTCAATAATGAACTCGACTTACCTTGTGACACTGCTACTTATACACGGGACGAAAACGGACTTATTTCACTAAAGAGCAGCTCAGCACACTGTTACGCTCTTAAAGCTTGGCTGTTCCGTTAGCGTTCTGTTGCTTAGCAACTGATGCCTTCACGGTCTTCTCAGAGCTTGGACACTGTTGCCTTAATGGTGTCCTCGGACAGTTCTAAATTGATCTGGATTTCAATGTTTATCTATCTATCTCTCTATCTAGTACAACAGAGCTTAAATGGGGTTTTAAGTTGCGTTCATATATGAACATGTTATCATATATGTTAATGTATGTGAAAACAACAGCTTCATGTGAATGTATGCTATGCATCAGTTATTTATAAATTAGTTATTGCTTATCTAAAAGTCTTTAGATAAGGACATGTAAATAGCCTACTGATGCTGAAAATGTGATGGAATTGCAACATGTGTTTTTAGTGATGTAGTTCAGTTAACAATTTTGTTTAATTTATTTTTGTTCAATCAATCAATCAATCAATCAATCATTACTTGTATAGCGCCAATCCATAACAAGTGTTATCTCGAGACACTTTACAAAAGAGCATTTGGGATAATATGCAGGTAGGATTTCTCCTTTGTATTCCTCACGCTCCTGTTGTCCACACTTCCTTGCCGTTGAGGTGGAGGTCTGAGCAGGCCGTGCATGAATGAGGACGACGGTGGTTGTGGAGACGACACAGTCCGATGGTGGTGGCTGGGTGTCAGGCGGTGGTTTTGAGGACAGGTTATGTTCGAGATAAGAGATCAAAGAGTATAAAAGCATCGCCTGCTTCCAGTCACACGTTTTGGAAAATGGCATCATCGTTCTTGGATGATCCCGTGGAGCTCAGTGTGCAGAGCGTGACAGGAGGACAAGGGTGTTCAGAGACTGGCAAAACCCTTTGGCTTTAGCGGATGATTATTTATATAAACGATACAAGTTCTCGTTGGAGGGAATGGTATATCTGTGTCAACTTCTTGAGCCTCGTATCCCGAGTGGGACACGTCGGAGTCGTGCGCTAACTGTCCCTCAGACCGTTTGCATAGCCTTGCGCTTCTTTGCATCAGTAACCTTTATGTATGCTGTGGGTGATGCAGAGAGCATAAGGAAAAATACAGTGTGCAATGCCATTCATAAGGTGGCAAGTGCTCTCACAGAACTTATTGATGCTTTTGTGGTGTTCCCTGGCCACTTACCCACGCAATCCATAAAAGAGGGCTTTATGACATTGCAGGTATGTAATATATCTAGGGACATATATAGCCTATGTATATAATGTGGATCCGATATTAAATGCAGCCTGCGTCTTTCATAGGATCCCCAAAATAGATCTGTGCAATCAACTTCACTCACATTCCCATCAGTGCGCATCTTGGTGAGAATGAAAGACTTTTATGTTAATCGCAAATGATTCCACAGCCTCAGCATTCAGGTAAATCTTGCGAAGGATACAATTTTTTGGTCATACATTGTCTGGATAATTAAAGTTCATTCATTACCTTTTAGCATGTGAAAATACTCACACGGCACAGGCGTCACATTTGGACCATCTTTCTCTCTGTAAGGATGGCTTAGTGGCTTAGGCCCACAAATTAGGAAAATTTGAAATTGCTGTCTAAGTTAATTTATTTACACTGGAAAAAATCAAGTGCAGCAATATGTACAGTGCAGGCCTGGAGAAAAATGACTGCATGCGTATTAACTGCATTCGGCAGCTACAGCTGTGTTGCTTTTTGATTTAGAAAGTACCCAACCATGTCTGTGTTTCGTGCGGCGCTTTTGCACAGGATAAGCAAAGTCTGTGTTTTAACTGGAATTTACTGACATTATCCCCCGGATATGATGTCAAGTGTTAACCTTTCCTGCTTCGGCGTTCTGACCATGGTCGTAGCCCACAGGGGAGACTTATTGGTCTGCCTCAAGGCCAAAGTTGTAGCCCTCACATTAACTGGGGTGCAGCAAGTTGTAAACAGACACGGAGAGTCCGGCTTGTTACTTGAGTTGTCGGGCCGTTTATTACGCACACAGAGCTCAAACTGTACATACACTTCAGATGCTGACTACTTTCTCTGCGCTGATTCTGCTCCGGTCTCTGGCATCAGTAAATTTGCAACCAAAATTCTGTCAAAACTTTCATTTATAATTGCCAACGCAGCCTTCATAATTCTCGACCGGGAAAAAAGGCAGAAAAAAGGTGCAGAGAACACAAAAAACCCTTGAAATACCCCAAATCACCAAGATGCCGATTTGCACGGGACTAATATTATCACACAACCTGTGTGTTTGGTGAAATATGGTAGGTCATTTGCGGTGGAATTTTTACTTTACAAATTACGGACATGGGCGATTCGCACGGGATTAAGATCACATCACGACCTCCGCATTTGTTACAAATTACCAGAGGTCCCCAAGTAATACTAGTCCAGTGTGAATAGGGCTTATTACGGGATCCACGTGGACCTTTGAAACGTGCGTATCCGGCCAATCACAGCATTTGAACCTGGACGAAAATACATGATCTACAAAGTTGTCCTTGTGTGGAAGTAGGAAAGAGTGCATTATGGCTCTTTTAGTCGGATGGAAACGATAAGAATATTGCTTTATGGGTTTATGGTCACCTACATCAATACCATGACTAAGTACATTCGTCTGAGTCAGAATGTCACTAAAGAGGGAAGAATAGTTTTTGATAAGCTAACCAATGTGGTAAGTGTGCGTTCAGGTTCGTTTGGATCACAGAATCAGTTTTGCTGAGATTACGGTCAACCAAATGGACCAGCCAACTTAACATGAAGGCTAGAACCAGTAACGGGTAACAGAACCAGCACACAGTCACCCGTCTGGAATGTCCACTGAACTGTTTTTTTGTCATAGCGGGCCTTACTTTTGGACTATCCTGCAGAGGGATTCACGGGCCAAATCACACGCTTTATGCAGTCTCTCTTTAAACGAGCTAACATAGTCCAACACATTAACAGAGACACTTTTCTCTCAGCAGACGCAAAGGGCCTTCAGGCAGACTTAACCCCATGGACACTTGTGAAGTTGCAATGTGGGAGGAGCGCATTCTTCCCTTTTTCTCCTTGTAAGAATCAAGGGTGTGGGTTTTTGCAAATGCGAACAAGGAAGAATGCAATTGCCGGGTTAATATCTCAAGGAGCTTCAGTGGAAGCACCAGGTTGTTGCTCCTGATTGTCCCCACCATCGTGATCTTCTGACGGAGAAGCACCTCAGCCAGTCGTAGGAGATAAAAAAGTTGTCACGTGAGACTGTGTGTCCCTTGAGCCCTTCAGTCATTTCCAAGATCACCCTTTTCCCCTGGTTGATTGGTGGGCAACTGCAGACCTTCCTGTGTAAACCAGCAATTTCCAGGCGTACACTTTAATACCATACCTCCCTGGTTTGGTCAGAAATATATTGCCTGAAAGAGCAACTGCCCCTGAAGTGGACCAGCTGCTCATCCATACATATGTCAGGGCCTGGGTTGAACGGGAGAGACAATCGGTGAACCCATCTCCCACACGTCTCGCAGAGGGGCAAGCTTGTCACCTTGACCTGCAGCAGGTGCATGACGCGACAGCCTGTCATCAAAACGGAGTTTGGAGTTGATGATATTGAAATACGTTGGGGACATGGTGGTGCTGAAGATGGCTCTACCGGTGTGCGTGTCCAACAGGCTGGCAACTGCCTCATGTCCAGATCTATAAACCCAGCCAGTATGAGAATACCGAGGAAAGCCTGCAGTCAAAGCATGTTGATATCTTTCCATGCTGGGTCAGATCGTCTTCCATTGAGGGTTGTCATTTCTAAAATAATGCTCATCATTTCGTCTGTCATAAACAGATGAAAGCATGACATTACGGAATCAATTTTGAGATGGCGTACCTCGTTGGTCCTGATTTCAGACCTGCCACTGGGACGAAACGGAGCGTATTACTCGGAGACCAGGCAATATCTCCATTTAAAAAAAAAAATCTCCATCCATGATCCACAGCCTGGGCGATTGTCTCTTCACTTTCAGAAGCGTTCTTACGCTGCTACACAAACCCAAGTTAAAAGCTAGCCTAAAAACTTACTCTAGGGTCAGTAAGCCCGTAACCTAGAGCCTCTCCTTACGTGCTGCATTCAACATAAAGGTGTACCTGCCTTACCTGCATGTATGCGACTGTCCTGTTTGTTAAAGGAGTGCGTGTTGGTGACTTACCGCCAAGTCACATCGTTCGTGTCGCGACCAGCACACTCGGACGGCTCGATCCTCAGAGACAGCGGTTGTGATCTCCTCTGCCAGCCTGCGCTCTTTCATTGGATATACCAGTTAAGATGATGTGCAAAACCCGTGCAGTGTCGACACACACACAAAAACAAACATTGATTCATTCTCTGTTGTCTCCAGTGTCGAGTGTCTTGGCGTCTCCCTCGTGGCGTCCATTCAACTCAAAAGCAATGCACGCCCGCTTCTCCGCAGGTGCTGCTAATGAAGGTTGAAGAGTCAGAGCCACCACAACCCCCTGAGGTGTGACATCAGCACTGACCCTGCTTCTACCAACCACACTTACCGCTGAAGACATTGAAGTGAATCCTCCTCAAGCATTATCATAACATGCGTCATCTGATGAATCTGAGTCAGACTCCTGCTCATTTGGTCTCAGTGGTTTCCTCCTCCGAGCTCTGCTCTAAAGCTTCCTCTGAGTCTTGCTCGCTCTCAGATTTTTCCATCACTTACCCCAAAGCCTCCGTTGTAGTATATCGCTTCATGGTCATGGATAAAATGACCAGTAACTCTCATGTAAATAAAGATTTGGCTGCGACTGAAGCTGCATAAAGTCAAAGATGTTTCCAAAACCAATCTAGCTTTTTAATGGCTTTACCTGCAGGTGCATCTTTGACGCATTCTACATCAAAAACTCTGTTTTTATATGCACCTTTCACATTTTTATTTATTAATTGTAAATTACATCAAATTTGTGGAAAATAAGTTTTGAGCGTATCCTCCGCTCATGTCCAGATTGATAAATGCCGAACTTTGCATTGAAATGACCGTACACCCATTTTTACTGTAGTATGGACGTTTGATA